AAAAAAAAAAAAAAAAAAAAAAAAAGAGATGCTGAAATACTGTTACCCATGCAAATAAAGGCTTCTTTCAACACAGCACAATATACTCCGGGTTCGAGGGGAGGAGCTGCAGCCCGCTCGGGGCTAGGAGTTTATGTTTTTGTTTGCATTTAAAGCTACAAAACAAACCCGCGATGGCCGAACCGCTCTCGGGGGACAGCGGCCCTGCAGCCACCCGGCCGCACCCGAAAGCACGGCGGTATCGGCGCTCGAAGGAGCCGCGGGGACATCGCCGCGCCGCCGCTCCCTGCCCGCAGCGCTCGGGGAACGGACCGGGCCGGGAGAGCCGTTCCCCGTGCTGACAGAAACACCGACAGCGCTGGTAGATAAGAAAATGGAATACTGTATTTGATTTAGAAAGTTTGTACATATAGATAAACACGCAGTTAAGGAAACGATAGTTTAAGCGTCCTACGTGGAGTTTAAGAAGAGACCCCCCAAAGCTGCTATGAAATACTCAAAATAGCTTTTGCATAAGATAACTACAGTTGCACCCTAAGCTGCTTTTTTTTTTTTATTTTTTTTCCTTTTTTTTTTTTTTTTTTTTTTTTTCCTTTCTTATTTATTTATTTATTTATTTTCTATCGCTGAGGTCCCTTTAGAAAACCTAGCCCGTCAGGAGCTGACAGCTAAGTTCGTGCAAGGAACACCGAGTCAAGGAAAATAAAAAGGGAGAGAGAAAGAGTGGGAGGAGAGAGACGGGGAAGGGGGGGGGGGGGCCCCCGCCAGAAAGAAAGAGCGGAGCAAATCTCATATACAAGCATTTCTACACATATATTACAAACTGGGAAAATGACCGCATCATTAAGATATACATAATTCATATAAAATTTTGAAATAAAAATAAAAATCTGTTACAGTCATAACTATTCTTTTTTCCACATTTATAACCAGTACCCACACAGGCAGTGACAGAAGTGTAGAAAAAAAGGTGCTTACGAAGAAAATGATTGTCTGCGGAACGAAAAACAGAACAGTGCCGCTCGGCGGGGCCCTCGCCGGGACTTAACCAAAAGAACAAAAAAAATAAACAGAGAACGGGAGGGGGAGAGAGAAAGAGAGACAGAGGACCAACAGAAAGGTGATCAACATTTGTTATTTCCCTCTTCAAGGAGTTCCTTTGTAATTTTTTTTTTTTTTTTTTTTTTTTTTTGCTTTTTGTACAAATTCGATCGCAGTTTGCCTTTGTCTGTTTGTTGATTCTGTTTTCCTTTACTATAGAGATTTTTTTTTTTTTCCCAGATACAAATTTAATAATCATCATGCAAGTGGGTGAAATGCGTCCATGGAAAAGCGCAAAGGAGAAATCGTGCTCGTCCTAAAAAGAATACAATTGTCACTTTTGCTTTGCTTTTTTTTTTTTTTTTTTTTGCCTTTTTTTTTTCTTTTTATATATATAATAATTATTCTTTCCCGCCGCCCCCCCGCCCCCCTCCCTCAAGCCTCCCCCCCACCCCCTCCGCTTGCAGCACCAGCGTTTGTGTCTGCTGAAGTTTGAGCTCCATCTCTTGGTGGTGGCGGTGGCAGGCGGTGCTGTGGTGGCTCCTCTGCTCCCTGTCTGCGTGCTCTGCTCCTGGGTCGGGCCGGGCCTCGGCTTCCCTCCGCGCTGTGTGTGTGCGTGAGTGCGTGTGTGTGTCCCGCTCCTAGGTTGCCTCGGATTGTTTTGCTCTGGTCGGGGAGAGGATGCTCGCTTGGATGGGTTTGGATTTTTGTTGTTGTTGTTGGGTTTCTTTTTTTTTGTTGTTTCTTTTTTTTTTTTTTTCTTCTTTTTGTTGTGATTTGTTTGTTTGTTTGTTTGTTTTCCGATATCATACATCACATTCCGAGTCGCTGGAGGTTACCGAGAGGATGGAGGTGCCCGTCTCGGCTCTTTCTGTCAAACTGGAGACGCTGGTGGTCGGGCTGGCCGCCGTGGACGGGGACTCGGCCGAGCTGTGCGTCGGGCAGCCGGGCTCCGCCAGCGACCGCATGCCGCTCTGTCCTATCGCCTGGTGCTGGAGCCTGCAGCGCGCCGGGAGACAAAACAACACCGCGGCCCTCTCAGACACCGCCCGCGCTGGGGGGGGCGGCGGCGCCGGACCCGGCCGCTCTCTCGGGGCTCGGCCCGGCCCGGCCCGGCAGCTCCCGGCCCCCGGAGCCCGACCCGGCCCCACAGCCACAATACCGCAGATCGAAGGGCCGCTCTCCTACAGGGGACGGCGCGGGGAGTGACGTGCAGCGACCCTGCACGGCCTCCGAGCTGCTCCCGCTGCTCCACGGGGAAGGGGACAGCGAGCGGGAGCCGCTGCAGGAGGGCACGAACCCGTCTTCAGCCGGGGTTCGGTGCCGGCCTGGCCGCCGCTTTGGGCGGGTTCCGGTCACCGAGCGCAGGGCTGCGGACAGGGAACGGCCGGGGACGGGGGTCCCGTCCCGGGAGCACAGCGCTGTGAATGCAACAAAACAGCGCGAGTGCGGAGAGCGGCGCTTCTCTCCGCACGGGATTGAAACCCCTTTTCCATCTGAAAGCCAAATTCACCTTTAAAATACTGGAGCTTTCAGCGTTTCAACACTTAGAGATCATTGCTTTCGAACACGTCTTTCTTTCTGTCTTAATCTTTCTTTCGATCTTTCCTTTTAAGAGGTAATAAATAATTTTCACATACACTATCATGTTGCGGATATTGCTCCCTGCCCACTCGCTCTTTCCGAAGCCCAAGATAGCCGCTATTGGGGGTAGGAGAAGGGCTCCGCTTCCCGCACGGAGCCGCCGGCCGCAGCCCCAGCCCCGGCGCTGCCCGCGGGAGCAGATCTCACCCTTCGCCCCTCCGCTCCACGCATGGCATTGCCCATGGAGCTGCCCGCACACAGCAGCACCGCGCAGCCTTATTCGGCACTTCTCATTATTTTACGTTGTCTAATCTCAGCGTCTTTGATTTTTCCCCCATTTACAATTCCTGGTGCATTCATCTGCTGTCAACAGCGTTGAGTCAACAAAAGCATCCGTGGGCAACTCCTGTTTATTTACAGCCCTGAGCTGATCTGTTTCCCATTTAATGGAAATTAACTGGCGAGGCACTTTAGGGTTGCACTTCTCCTACAGAATCCTGAATCAATAGCACCACTGCTATAATGAGGAGGAATTTCAGAGACAGCATTTAAAAGAACAAGAAGTTTTGTTTACGCGCTACCAGCGGCAAGCAAACTTCAATTAAAATAAAAGCGGCGTGGCAAGCGGGCTGAAGGGGCCGTTTTCATTTGCAAAATAACTTTACCGGAGGGTGACGAGAAATAAATAGCAGGGAGCCTCGCAAAGCAGAAATAATCATAAAAAGACACCGAGAGACGCGCAAACAAATGCCAACGCAATGCACAGCGAACGCACGGCCGGCTCGCTATGTGTTGGGAGCTGGGAAACGGGAAGAGGGACCTTTCCTCGTCTCCCAAAGGCTTTCTTCCCTGTTTCTCCCGGAGACAAACGGTTTCGTGTTTCGAGTGCGCGCGGTTCCCGCGGTGCGCGCCGTGGATCGCGACCGAGCGCTGCGGAGCCGCACGGCCGAAGCCCGCAGCTCTCAGCCCTTCCGCGGCGGGGCCGCGCTGCAACCGCACAGCGGAGGGAAACCCAAAGCCATCCGAGCCCCGGCGCCTCTGGCGGCGCTCATCTGCGGCCGCGGAGCCGGAGCTGCCCCCGCCTCGCCGCGCGAAGCTGCCCACGCCCGCGGGGAGCCCCGCGCCCCAGGAGCCCACGGGAGCCCGGAGCGCGGCTCGGGGCGCGGTGCGCAACTTTGCGCAGCGCATCCCCGCGAACGCCGGGGCAGAGAGGCGCGGGGTACCCGGAGGAAGGGGAGGAGGAGGAGAAGGAGGAGGAGGAGGAGGCGCGGCGCTGCCCGAGAGGGCCCGAGCCCCACTGACCTGTTTTTAGCCGCCGCCGCTCTGTCTCTTTGCCTTCGGTTTTTGAACCAGTTGCCTACTTGCGTGGGGGTGAGCCCCGTGGCCTGAGCCAGTTCCCTTTTCTTGCTCGGATTGGGGTAAGGGTCCTGCAGGTACCACTCCCTCAGGAGGCTGCGAGTCCTCTCCTTGAAGCAGTGCGTCTTCTGCTCGCCATCCCAAATGGTCCTGGGCAGCGGAAACTTCTTCCTCACCCTGTATTTATCAACCGGCCCCAGCGGGCGGCCCCGCAGCTTCTCGGCCTCCTGGTAGTGCGCTTCGAGCCACATGGCCTGCAGCTTGCCGTGCGACTCCTTGGTGAATTTGTGGTTCTCCAGGATGTGGTAGAGGTCGCGGAAGTTGCCCGTGTGGAAGGCCACCACCGCCCGGGCGCGCAGGATGGACTCGTGCTTGTTGATGGCCTCGCATGCCCCCGGCGCCACCGGCAGCGACCAGAGGAACCTCCCCAGCCTCTCTATGTCTCCGGTCTCCTCCAGCGTCTCGCAGACGCTGGCCACTTGCTCCGGGGAGAAGTTGAGCGTGGGCAGCTGAAACATTGACAACTCTTCGTGGGGCGCCCGGGAGCTGCCGCCGCCGCCGCCGGCCCCGGGGCTGCAGCCCGAGCCGCTGCCGCTGCCGCCGCTGGCGAGAAGGAGGGAGCGGTGGTGCGGGTCGGCGGCGAAGTTGGGCAGGAAGAAATGGGTGGGATAGAGCTCTAGCGGGGACCTGAACACCATGGGATGACCGGGGAGAGGGGGAGAGCGATCACGGAGAAAAGAAAGAAAGGGAGGAAGAAGGGAGGAAAGGGCACCCGCACCGCGCACGCATCCACACCCGCACACGCACACGCAGCCACATAGAGGCGCGGGGCACACGCACGCACACACACGCGCACACACTCACGCACACACTCACGCGCTCACACGCGCCCGGCCCCGCGCCGCCGCCGAGTCGGGATTCAGTGATTCGACAGCGGTCGCCCTAATGACAACAGCCTCATAATATCTCCCCTAAATCCACAGTGAGTGCAGCGCCGAAACATTTTGTTTCGCTTTTCTATTGGTCTTCTGCGTGTCGTTGTGGCGTTGCCATGGCAGCCGCTGCCAATCACTGTCAGCCCTGCCAATCATTACGGAGTACGTAAGAGAGGTTTTTACCACTTCGCCCGAACGCACGGGGGGGAGGGAAGCGGGGCGGCTGCTGGAAAAGCGTGGTGGGGTTTCTTTTTTTTTTTCTTTTTTTTTTTTTTTAAATCTTCGCAACTCCTCATCTCAGCACTTCCCCTTCTCCCCGGCTCCCCCCTCCCCCTCCTCCTTCTCCACACCCCTCCTAAATAAGGGATCAAATAATGCGAAAAGCGGTGTGCACATATTTGTTGAATGGGATGAGCAATTAGAGGGTGGAATATTATTGTGATCTTAACGAGCCTCGTTAAAGCTAAAGGAGATACGGGGGGAAAGTAAATGGGCCAGGCTGGGATACGCGTTCGGATAAAGGGCTCCTAACTGAGACAATTTACACATGATTTGCACGTAGTTTCACTTCATTCTGCCTATCTGAGCACTAATAGTGCCGGGGAAGAAAAGAAAGATGAGATCATTAGACCCATCCTCATGCCGCTGACCCTCCCCGAAGCGGCGCACACAGCGCAGCCCGGGCTCAGCCCCGCTTCCCCCTCAGCCTCTCCTCTTCCCTCCGCGTCCCCTCCGCACAGGGACGCACCGCGGAGATCGGCTCCTCTCCCCGCTCCCGGTCCCCGGTCCGCCGCTCACCGCCGCCCCCCGTCCCAAGGCCGCCTCCCTCGCCCTCCCCTCTCTGCCTAGCCTTCCCTTTCCCTCTCCTTTCTCTCCCCTCGCTCTCCACTTTGTTTTCTTTCCCTTCTCCCCCCTCCACCCGCCGCCTCCGCTCGCCCCTTCCTTCCTCCGCAGCCCGGCCCTGCGGCAGGTCCTCACCCCCGCCCCGATGGGGTTTTACACCGCACCTCTCCTTTTCCCCGCAATTCCTGCCACGAACTTCCCGGGATTCAGTGTGCGGGGAGGAGGCGAGAGAAAGCGCTTTGCAACCTCTATTTATCCTCCCTCTCTCCGTCTCTCTCTCTCTCTCTCTCTCTCTCTTTTTTTTTTTTTTTTTTTTTTTTTTTTTTTTTTTTTTAATTAGAAGCAAAGAAATTCCGTGTGGCGGTTCGGGTCCATCCCTCGGTAAGAGCGAGCCGGGCCGCCTGCCCCCGCTGCCGCGCAACTATATTTATTATTAGGTATGTTGCTTTTAAGAAGATTTAATCAGCATCTTGAGCTGGTAACTCTTTTGTTTGGTTTCTGTAGCTATGGAAGTGTGATTTACAGAGATTTGTACGGGTCATGGACATCTTTCCAGACTTACTGTGTATATTTAGACAGGACTTTGCTTGGTGTTAAAAAGTGTATATTTTGAATAGGTTCACACACAGTAGCAAACAATACCGACATTGTAAAGGCATGTACAACGAGTATTGAAACGCAGCATCCAGACTTCAACTAATCTGCCCTCAATAAAGCTGAAATAATTATCCTAAGCCGCCTTTCTAGAAGAAAAATCATTGAGGAATTCAAAACTTTTTTAAAGATCTTTTCTGCATTCCGATGGAGATCGAGGGGTGAGGCTCGGAGCCCAAACTACTTTCAGACATCAATGGAAGGGAAGAGGGGGGGGGACGAGAGATATTACAATTAAAATGTGAAAACATAGCGTGACTCGCCCTATCCGAAGGATAATCGTCATACTGCTATGGGTGGTAGAAGTTCTTTAGCGGGGCTCCGAACCGGTTTGCGAGCCTTTCACGGCGCGCTCCTCGGGAAATAATTCCAAGTGGCAGATGAATAGGTGCAGTTGGGAGAGCTGCTGGACTGGAAGGAGCTCGCTGTATTACACATTCATCTGATTTCCACTAAACTGTCATCGCTGTGCTGCGTGGCTCCGCGCTCCTCGTGGAAATCGCTCGCCAGCTTCATTTTAGCGATCCGCCTCAACACTTCTGCTAACGGACTTGGGGAAAAGTTCGGGCTCCCTCCTCCCTCCCATCTTCCCTCCCTCCCAGCTCATGTTTCCAGTTACACCGCTAAGGAGGGAAGGAGACAGCTCAGCCCCAACACAACCCAACTCGGAGGTATTAATTGGACAACAATATGTTTAGCCAAAGATTTTAATACACACACACGCAAAATCTTTTTCTCTGTAATCCTTTCCTTTTATGCAAAGGATTACAGGGAGGAGGGTGGGGTGAATTCCTGCGGGAGTTTCTTAATATTTGATTCCATTTTTTCCACAAGCTGCTAGTTAAACTATCTTAAAGTGCGTTTCTACACTCAAATCCAAACGGGCCTGCATTTTTTTTTTTTTTAATCTTCTGGAACACCATACAGCGCTCCTTTGCTGTAGGCTGCATCCCTCCTGTAGGGCTTCTGGAAAACTTTGCAGATCTTCTGTCTATTTCCTCTTTCTTTTCCTTTTTTTTTTTTTTTTCTTTTTTTTCCCCTTTTTTTTCTTTCCTTTTTTTTTTCTTTTTTTTTTTTCTTTCTTTTTTTTTTTTTTTTTTCTTTCTTTCTTTTTTTTTTTCCTCTTTCTCTCTTCCCTTCCTTCTCTCCCCAGGCACACAAATCATACAATACTCGCATTTCTGCTGAAAGCATTTCTCCCACGGCACTGCTATGTATGGAATCGCTACGCACACAAACTGTGTGCACATATCCCTGGATGTGTCCTGCCTCGTGTCCTTGTTAAACCAGCCACCCCTCACGTCATCGGCCGACACAGAGCTCCCGCTGCAGCCCTACTCTCCCAGTGCCTGCGAAGCACAGGAGCCCCGCCAGCCCGGAGCTCCCTCAGCAACATCCGTGGATGTTTGCATTGGTCTCAGCTTCTCCACGGAGCGGCGGACAGAGCCTGGGCCAGCGGCCTCGGTGCTTTCCCCTCCCGGCCGCTGCTTCAGCGCTCCCTTAAGCCTGTTAGGGACACACTCTCATGTCCTGAAATGTGCAAGCACATAATTGTTGGCGCTCTATCTTTGTGTGAGGAGGCCAGGGTGTAAATGGCTTTTAATGACTGCAGCTGCTGGCTGCAAACTGTCAATGGGGTTGCCTAATGCCGAGCTCGGACTCGGAGGGCGCAGCGTCGCAGCCACCGGGCTGGCTCAGCCCCCGACCCCCGCCGCCCGCAGCGCGCAGCGGCGCGGAGCTGCGCGGAGAGGAGTGCGGGGCCGCGTGGGGCTGCGCGCACAGCGGGAGCGGCCGGAGGCAGCAGGAGTGCGGCGGAGAACGGGGCTGGGCAGAGACTGCCCTCTCGGCTGGGAAAATCCTTTCCGGATCCTGTAAGTTTCCTACGGGCAGACGGAGGTCCCGAGGGGGACAGTCCCGGGGTGCCGACTCGGGACCCGGCCCTTCCCCTCCCCGCGCTACCGGGGCTCGGGGTGCGGGGGTGACAGGCGGGGTGCCCCCTCGACGCTGCCGGCAGCCGTCTGCAGTCAGCCCTGATCCCACATGATTAATTGTTTTAGCTTCTAGAATGATGACATGAGGCTCTGCAGGGCAGGGACACCTCCCCTCCTCCCCACCCCCTCTTCCCAACTCCCTCCCCCCCAACCCCCCCCCCCCCAAAAAAAGAAAAAAAAACACCGAAAAACAAAAACCCACCTCCCCCTCAATAAGCCGGGACGAGCCTGTGCTGTCTATCGAAGGGAGCCCTGCGAAGTTGTGTGTGTGTGCCGGGCCGCCGACCTGAAGGACTTTTCCGGGGAGAGGAAGGGAAGCAGAGAAGGAAGCTCTTTTATTTCACCGTTTGTTTTGATGGCAGCTCCCGGGAGGCTGCAATTTTCTGCCGCCTCGTTGCTGCCCCTGCATCCCGGCTCGGGAGGGACTTCGCCGCCACTCGCAGGGGCCACTTGCTCCGTTCCGGGAAGGAGCGGGTGTCCGCGGGGCCGAGGCAGAGGCGGGCGCAGAGCGTGGATCCGCGACGGGAGGAGGGGGGGAGAGGAGGAGAGCAGGGCAGGGGATGGAGGAGCCATGGCTTTCGCCTGGCCCGGATTATGATTATTATTTTCATGAGGATTTAATTGATTTTTCTGTCATTCCGCAGTGGTAAGGGCTGACAGTTCAGACTAACTGCCGTCTCTACAAACGTGTGTGTCCTCCTGCTTCCTTTCCTCTCTTTCTCCCTTTCTTCTTTCCTCTCTCCCTTCAGCCCCGATTTCCCAAGATAAATGAATGCGCATTTGATGGGTGTGTAAGATGTGGCCCATTCGGCTCCCGTAACTCAATCCTGTTGATGCAATGTGTGCTGAACCGGTTGTGCTCAGCGACATGTGGGCAAGGGACTTTTTTTTTTTTTTTAACGGTTTGGATTGGCTTAAGGAGCCGAGGGGGGAAGGGGGGGGGGGGGGGAATTTTATGACTGCTCCCAAGCAGAGCTGCAGCTCCCAAGTTTAAACTTTTGTGCACCCCCCTTCCCCCACCCCCCCCTCACCGCTTCACACACACGTTTCGTCCTGCGGGAACACAGCCGCTGCGGGAGGAAAGCACGAGGTACCCTTTTCGATTTATTTTTCGAGGAGGGGGAGAGGAACGCTGCTGGCAGTACGGAGCGGGGTTGGGAACCGCACATCGCGCACCGCCGCCCCCAGCACCGCCCGTTACCTGCCCGCAGAGCAGCACCGCTCCCAGCGCAGCCCAACTCGTCGCGTTGCCGCGCTATCAGCAAGGGACACTTG